GATGACACAAGGTTTTCTCTCCATCTTGTGACCGTTAAAGACGTCACGAGTTATGCAGAAGTTATGGATTTCACCGTTCAGTTGAATCATGTCAGAAAGGAGCCGCAGCTCACACAACAAACTATAAGACCTGTGCTGTTGTCAGTGTAAAGCTAAATGCAAACACACAGTTAAAACTCCGGCAGTCCCATGTCTTGTAGTGATTATGTGCGATGGCTAGGAGCGATGTTTGATAGTTTACAGAACCAGACCCTGTGAGGAGAGAGAGAGAGAGAGACTCACTGCAGCTCTCTACCGGTTTCTCTTCATGGGAAAAAACACTTAGATCTGATGTTTACAGGAAGTACAGTGACTCAATGAGAAGGATGTGAAGATCAGATCGACCATCTGTTTAATAATCAACTCAAAACCTCTCATTTAATAGTGACTCAGAACTCCATAAAGATCCTTCTTTTGTTGAATGAAGAGTTCAACATCTTAAGAGATGTTGTGTCTTGTTTATTTAAAGTTGCGTATTTTCTTCTTCTGTTCTTTATTTGAAGTGTTGATCCATCAGAAGATATAAAAACCATCTCAGTGTAGTTTTACATCTCCTCTCTCAGGCTTCTCTCTGCAGCTCTAGTAACAACAGGTCGGTGAGCCAATCAGAAGAGAGGAGGCTCTGAGCCTCTCTTCTGATTGGCTGACTGTTTTCTGAGTGATCCAATAAAAATATAGCAGATTTCAGGTAAAAACACTCAGAGAAACCAAATCCTGCAAGGTTTGGATGGTGGGTCCAGGTGGGCGGGGCTTGGTGACTGCTTTGTTGTGACATCACAAAGTTCCAGAAGTCCTGACGGCTGGTTTTAAGGCTCAGTTTCTGAATACAGGCTGTGTGCATTTCTCTGTGGACTGAGGCTTTGATACTTTCACAGTATTAATATAGAAGCTAGACCTGATCTATAATCACACTACACATGAACAGAGACCTTTACACTGGAGGAGCTTTAATCTGCACAAAAACAGAAACGTATAAATGATCTTTGTGGTTTCAGGAAGAGTGAAAACTGGATTTATACGCTGCACCTACGGCGGCCTCATGTATGGACTCTGAGGTAACGCCGACGGTCGTGGCGTGAAGCGATATGCATCACCTAAAGTTTCGACCTTTGGACAGAGTTGTGCTCTCGAGTTTCCTCCTGCGTCCAGCTCTGTATTTAACACATCCCAAAACGTTGAGCAATCCCTGTTATTAGTCATGCCTGTCGTCTGTTCATGTGGCCTTCATTTAATTCTCTGCAGGATCTTTCACTCCCCTAATTCTCTGCTCTTCCTCCTCCTCCTCCTCCTCTCTGTGGACGACCTACATGCAGAGAAGCATGGGGGTAACAGAGGAAGGTGAACGGGTTGAGTAGTGATGGAAATGGCAAAAACAATAGCTGGGTGTAGGGCTGCCAACAGCTCCAACCCCTGCCCCCCCACATTAACCACCTCAGACAAAGGCCTCTCTTTTGCAGCCGGTGTTTGCCAGCTCAGAGGGGGGGCCCAGCTTCTGCAGCAATCAAGCGTCCAGCCACAGCTGCTCATCGGCTCACTGCTGCTTCTTGTTGGTCGGTAATAAGCCGGTAATGGGCGCCGCTGCCGACCACTGAGAGCAGCTGGGGATGGATGGCACCACTTACGGACATCTGCATGCGGCACAGTCGCTGGCAGCCGCAGGAGCTTGGACGCCGGTATATTCAGCCTCTGTTGGACGGCCACAGAGACAATGTCAGATTGAGACATGTCTTTGGAATAATTTCTAAGACGGACCACGTCCAAAAGAGAAACTGGCAGGCGGGAGATACGGGCACCAGAGCGGCGGCATTGTGAGGGTTTGGATGTGAGGCTTCAGAGCCGACTCTGAGTGGAGATAAGGCAACGGCAGCCACAACACAGAGGAGAAAAGAAGAGAGTCGTTCTTTAAGACCAGAGACTGGATCTGGCTCCTAGACCTCCCTCAGAAACCCTCCTGTTGCTCTGACTTCAGACCAGAGAATAACGGCATTCACCAATATCCAAGAAACTAAAGCTCTGCTTGACCAAACCATGAAAAAACATTTTCTCACTTATCTGCTCGCATGTCGAGCAGTGTGGCAGTTTGATGACTTAACCTTGGACGGACGAAATGAACAATGTTCCAGTGAAGCCAGTGAAAGCCACACACACACAAAATGAGCTTAGTTTCACCTGGCAGGGTCTCACACTATTCACTCCGGCCCCAAAAGAGCCTTCTGCTCAGTTCAGGAGTCAGTTCAAATCAACAGAGAAATCCCTCCTCAGCATCGCAGCACCGAGCACTCCACAGCAGCTTATGTCAAAATTCAACCAACAAAACATAACCGAGTGATCCTCCTGTCTGCAATAAACCAGCTATGTCTTTCCTCAGGTGACAGTGGAGTTACCTGCCGTACCTGTAGCCTCCCACAACAGCTCACATAGGAACTAGAATCACCTCCTCGTGGTTGTATCCCTCCACCAATCAGGAGCCAAGTTACAGGAAATAGTCACTGCCTCTTCTTCTTGAGATACAGTGTTGAATAATGATGTCACAGTGCAGCTGACCTTTGACCTATTGGATATAAAATGTCATCACTTCATTTGATCCTTGCAGAAGTTAAATTGTGTTTTAAGAGTTATGGACAAAAACGTGACCTTGACCTTTGACCTTGGGTGTCTACATCACCGTGTCCAAAGGTCTCAGTTTCTGTCCTTCCAGACTACAACACAACCCCAGAGTTTACAAAATAAAACACTACGCCAGGGTTTTCAAATTAAAACAGGTCCTGCAGCGTTTGACAGTTTTAGTTGCTCAAAAACTCGTTGTCGTGTTGACGTCAGGAGAAAACGAAGAGATGACTTCTAAAACAAAACAATTCACAAGAAACTAATGTCAACAAATGTCAGAGGGACTATTTCTTCAGCAGAAAGTAGTTCCAGTGAAACCTCTTGTGGACTGTCCTGGACACTGAGATCTGAGCAGACGGAAAAATAAAACCGAAACTATCTGCGTGGAGAGATGAAACCAGAGGTAAGTGAGGAAAGGTGTGTGAGGTTCTCCACACTCTCATTAGTGGAGCTGTGTGTTCACATAAAGTCCAGAGTGGAAAAGGTCTTCTGTCCCGAGGCTGACTCGTCCCCAGCTGTCCGGCCTGCAGCCTCAGCGTTACCGTGGTTCAACAGATAAAACAGGTCAGAGAGAGAGAGAGGGAGAAAGAGAGAGAGAGAAAGAGAGAGAGAGAGAGAGAGAGAGAGAGAGAGAGAGGGAGGGAGAGAGAGGGAGGACAGGCAGCCAGCAGCAGGAATCATAAACCTGCAGGACAACGTTGATCTTTATCACCAATAAAGTGAGAGAGCTGAATCTGAGATTCTCTCTCTGAGGAATGTTTTTAACGTGATCACGCCCTGAAGGTTCACAGCTGCTCCTCCATCTCCGGACACCAGCGGAAACCGCTGCAAACTGGAACCAGGTCAAACTGACGGTCAGACTCTTCTTCTTCTTCTTCTACTACTCATCCGTCCTCCGCTCTTCTTCTCTGAGGTCAGTGATGTAAGACGAGCATTTTAAACTCCCGTTCAGCTCTGCAGCAAAACATGTCACACGTGCAGCTTCGTGTGTGGCGACGTGTTTAGTGTTAAAAATAAAAACTATGGATCGCCATCTGAAAAACTATTTTAAATAAATAAATAAATAAATTGCTTTTTTTTTTTTAAAGTATATTTTTTGGGCTTCTTTATGCCTTTATTTGATAGCACAGGAGAGAGACGGGAAACGGGGAGGCAGAGAGAGGGAATGACACGCAGCAAAGGCCGTCCGATGCGGGACTCGAACCGCGGCCGACAGCGAGGACTGTGGCCTCTACACATGAGGCGCCTGCTTAGACCACCACACCACACGACGCCCCATTGCTTTTTATTTTAAAAATAAAATAAAAATAATATAAATATAAATAAAAATAAATAAAAAACTCTTTTTTTTTATTTCTGCAGACTTTTATTTCCTAATGCTCTCAACCAGAATGTCGGTACTTTATGACGTTGGCGTGAGACGTTTGGAAGACGTTGAATTCCTGAGACTTAACGACAAAATATCAACGTCTGCTTTAGACGTTATCCTAACGTTGAACTTTGGTCACCTGACGTCACAACCCACATTCAACCAACACCAACCACAAAGCTGATCCAGGTTCAGCCGTCAACAGTGATGTCCCAACACTCTGATGATACAACAGACCAACAGTAGAGATGTGTATTCACCCTTTGTATCTCACACACACACACACACACACACACACACACACACACACACACACACACACACACACACACACACACACACACACCTCTCCACATTCCTCCACATGTTCACGTCACTGATTGTGTTGTGGTCAATCAGCGCTTTACGACCGACTGCTGCCATACGACTGAGATTAGCTCCACAGCCTCGTGTAAACTTCACGTACAGCTCAACAGCAATTTGTGTGTGTGTGTGTGGGGGGGGGGTCTGTGTGTGTGTGGTGGGATTGGGGGGGGGTGACCTTAGGCCCAAAGGTTAAAATCATAGAGAGAGCCGCTGCAGATTGGGTGTAATTACCCGACATAAAGAAGATCCCTGACAAGGAGCTTTTATGATGTTTGATTTTCCCATTCAAGAGGATACTGAGGGGGGGGGGGGGGGGGGGGG